AAAAAAAAGAAAATCTTACTGAACGTGGTTGTGGAACAGCGTACCATTGTTCTGCTGAATAAAAAGAAAGCATCACGTTACACATCGTACAGTGATTGTGAATCTGAGTCGTGTAAAATCGTTTGTAAGCTCCTGCCGGATAATGACCAGATCGTAGTGGCAGTTGTGGCAGACGAACGGCCCGCTGCTGTTGCTCGTGCTGTTTCCTCCCGTGGAGTTGGTGCAGGCGTCGCACACCAGGTTCCCGTAAGCTTTGGAGAACAGTGTTGGTGCAAACACACCTGCCAGTGACAGGAAGAGGGGGAAGTCAGCGTATTTTAACATTTTGGTAATGCTTTTACATTGCAGTCGGGTTTGGGAAAAACAACCGTCAGATGAGCGTCACATTTGAAGGTGAATATCTGAACTGTGCACATGTTGTCAAGTCTCTGTAACAAGACTCGAGTTACACCTGGTTCATGAGGAAATAATTTAAATGAACCTGTAAACTCTCAGCTAGCAAGAGTTTGGCATTTTACTGCCACTAGACAAACTGTATTTTTATTTATTACTACATATTTTATTTGCTTAATATCCACTGGAGACACAATTATATTAAATCTTCTCTTCTTCGTGCTGCAGTTAAATGACAAAAAATGAAACACAATCAAAACAGCAGCTACTAAAATAGCCGTAGCTGTAACATCTGTTGCCTAATGGGGCAGCAGAGTGACATTTTTAGCTGCAATGACAAAGAAAAGGTAAAATTTTTGCATGTGAAGATCAAAAGCGCTTGTGTGACTGAACAGCGCCTCCTAGTGGACAAACTGCAGCTTCGGAAACGTGAATGAACTGTCAGTATATCAGCAGCCAGATTCCGGAGGTGGTTTTTCTCTCAGTGTATGGCAAGAAAAAGACAAATGAGTTTTCTCTTTCAGTGTCATAAAAATGTCGGGTACAGAGCTGATTTTGTTGTTGTTGCTCATACAGAGTGACAGAATGTGTTGATTCTCAAATACTCGCCTCCTACGGAGATGAAAAGCAACGCAGAGCTCACTCCTGTACAACGACTGTTGAATCTTTGCTCGCTGTGTCTCAGGCCTCCGATGATCATGCAGATGCCCTGAGAAAAAGAAAACAAGACACCTATTCATACGTGCTGATTGAATACATGAGTCTAAAGGTTAAAAATGTACTTAAAGGGCAGTGGGCTGACATACAAATGAAAAAAA